CCCCCCCCCCCCCCCCCCGCCCCACGGCCCGCTGGCGCTTCTTGCCCGTCCTCGTCTTTGGACTCCATCATGGAGCGGTGGTACAAAGCCCTTCGGAGTCACAGTCGCAAGGGACCCAACAAGCGCAGAAACCGCTCTTGGCTGGCCCGGTCCGGCCTGGTGTAAAGCAAGACTGCCACCTAAGCCGACACGGTGATCAACTGCAAACAGCAAAAACCATGTCGGGCAGTGCAGAAGCCACCGCTCTCAAGCCCGGGCAGCGGACCCCATGAGTTCCCTGCTTGAAGGCCAAGGAGGCGCCCTTCAGGAGCTCTGAAACTGAACCACACTGTCATTCTCATACTGCACCTGACTTCCAGTCTGCTTGCCTCCTTGAATTTCTCGATCCGGTCGACGGCCGACACCGGGGCATCCGGATCGTCCCCACCATCCCGATCATTGTAGAGGGCGGCCTTCGCCGCGACATGAACTCACCCTGCACTCGTCAAGGCTGGCCAGACCCATCGAAAGTGTGGCGATGCCTCGCACTCCGTTGCCAAAGTCAAGAATTGACCTGCCTGGCAACGTGTGCAGGTGCTGAAAGCTCTTCGGAAAAGCATTGCCGGCTGCACCGTCTTTCCAGCGCAGCTGAAGCCCCGTTTGAGGGAGGTCAAGGCCTGCTGGCCAAGCACTGTGGGAGGGCATAGGCTAGGACCATTCGGGTTCTGGTGTTAGGTGATCAGGCCTTGGACAGGGCCATCATGGTCTAGAAGCAACGCACCCTTAGGGAAAGCACGTCCTCTGATTCCTGCGACAAAAAGATCGGGTCTGACCGTCATCTGACCTTCCCCAGTTTGTAGCGTCAGCTGACATACTGTATTCCATGGCTGCACATCTGTGCTTTCAATTAAAGAGCATCAATCAATCCCCAGGTGTGAACCCAGATCCCCGCCCTTCCGGCCCTCGTGAACTGAAGAGCACCTCGCGATTCTTGGAGAGTCGGAGCTCAGCCGTGGCCCGCCGCAACCAGCCCTGCGTCCGTCGTACACTCTCCAGGCTCTGGATTGTCTACGTAGTCAGCCACGAACCTACAGTTTTGTGGTTTGTTGAAGTGATGTTCATCATGCTAATCTGCACGCGACCCTCTATGTGTGGAATTTTTGGAACTGCACGCTCTGGTGCTGCGCCACACACTAGGCTGGCATACCACCAGCATAGAGGGCCGCAAGCTCAACAGCTTCTCACTGAGTTCTCAGTGCTTGGTGTTCCATGCACCCGAATTCATGGCTGCAGCTCCGCAGCTTCTTTCCCGTCCTTCTCAACCTCGCCCTTTTCCTGTTCGCCCTTGCCCTGGCCCTCGCCCTTCGACTCCACGCGCAGTGGATGCAGGAAGAAGAAGCAGAGGCGACAGAAGAGGGTCACCGGCTCTGACAGGGGAATCCAGCTGGCACCCCGAGGCATCGGGCCTTTGTAGCGGTCAGCCCCAGTCAGCTGGACACCGGGTTGGGACAGCTCAGCAAAGGTCCAAAAAATGAACACGAGCAGGAAAACCTGCAAGCCCACGTAGAGCCCACCGAACACGTACCTTGGCTCCGGACTACAGGTTGACATGACGTGACTGCACCTCAAATTCCAAGTCAGTAATGCCCTTTACAGCAACGGCTGCATAGGACACTCAGAAAAACGTACACGATGTACGCCCGATCAACTCAGAGTCGCTCTTTCGAGCGAGCAATGATTTAGGATTTATACCTCAAAGCCGTGGCACCATGACACCAGACGGCATTTGCTCACCCCCTGTGGGCGCACAAAGGCCATGAGGAAGATGGCCCAACACCAGAAGCCGATCTGAAGGCCAACGTAGGGGATGCTGTGTGCGAAGACGGTGTCCACACGGTGGGAAAGGACCGGACTAAAGACGCCCACCAGCCAGAAGCAGTTCGTGGTCAAAATTACAAAGGCCGCAACCGCCTGGAGGAACCTCTTGCTAAACTTCCCTTGCCATTCGCTCTGGCAGTGGCGATACACCTTGTAGATGGCATAGCCGTGCATGAGCCCCGTGATGAAGAACATGACTGTGGCAGCCTCCACCCAACCTGGGAAATCCATGGCCACACAAATGGACCCTTGCCCAAAGACGTGGGAAATCGAGTTCTCATCAGGGTCATTGTTCCCTGCGAGCCTCGCCACGATCGGCACGACCAAGCTGAGGATGATGCTGCACCCCATTAGGGTAAGCGGCTTCTCGAGCACATACTTGAACGATGCCAGGCACACCATCTCCGAACTCTCTTTGAGAGGCCTTAAAACTAAACGTGCGCCTGGTTCGAGCCCGCCACCCTGCCGCTCCAAACTTGTGCATGGTGCTTCTGCCATCTGCGACTCTACGGACCAGCCCGAGACCCAGCAGTTTGAACAGAGGGCCTTGGGCCAGTCAGGCTCCTGGATCGTTGCGTCCTGGTCACGGCAGTGAGCAAAAAGCTGAAAGAAAGCTTCATCATGCTTCATCAGAGAGACCCAGACTCTGAGGGAAGGACCACCGCATCTTCCAGGCTCTTCGCCCAGTCAAAGAGCTTGGCAAACACAAGTGCCTAGGACGGGATCGGACAGATGTCTCAGGTCGACGCCTCATGGAATGTTGCTGGCCGTGCAAGCCGAGCTGCCCGATTTGACATCAAAGTGGCACGCTGTGCGGATTCTAAAGCATCGCCACCGAGTTCCAGAGCCTGTGCTTTGATTCGTTCAGCTCTTTACGGTTGCCGGCCAATGGCAAGTCCCACAACGATTGCAGGAGCTTTACAGCTACATGTCAACTGCAACGCCGGAGCCCTGCCTGACCGTAGAGTGAGAGTGCCGTATTCCATTCCTGATTACGACGCATCCTCAAGTGAATCTGTGGCAACTTTCAGCAAAACTAAAATGTCATAGCCAGCCTTGTCTTTGAAGGCTTTGTCTGCGGCTTGCTTTGTCTCCTGCCGAGCACTACGTCCCTAAAGCTCACTGAAATCTCCTTCGCGACCCGTACAGTACGCATCTGATACAAGACGAGCTTTCAAGAAGACTACCGGCAACATCAAAACAAGCGGACGGTCCTCCCACGGCCGTTGCTCGGCTGTCTCGGTCTCTGCCTTTGCTTCCGGCGCCTACGGAAGCGAGCGGAAGCGACGCCGACGCGCGGACGCGTTGAATCACCGGCTGGCAGAGCACAGCTCATGGCACCTGCGCCGCCTGCGCCTCCTCGCTGCCCAGGGCCGCCTCGAAGCCCGCCGGCAGGGGCGCGGCCGCGAGACCCTGCAGAGGACTCATTGCGGGCTTGGCTGGGAGTCAGGCTAGACACTGGACCGACAAGACAGGACATAACTGGAGTGCATTGCTTTCTGAATCTGTCCTGAAAGGAGTTTTGGGGCTTGTGAGGCAAGCGGGAAGCCAAAGATAAAGGCAGTCGGCAGCATGCGCTCTTTTCTAAAGGGCCCAATCAAGACAATCGAGATCGTGGGAGTCGTCCTGAAGCTACCTGCCCTGCGGGCAGTCTGCACGGACAAAATCTGCCGAGGCCTTCAAGCCAACGGCTCACTTCTCCCTCTCAGTGCCCTCCCTTCTGCTGCACGGCCATCGGCTTGGTCAAAAACTCCTCATAGTAGTACTCGTGGCAGTCCAGCTTGCCCTTCTTCCACGGTGGGTAGCCGACGGACTTTGGGTTGGCCCAGGCGCGGAGGCAATCGTAGAAGTCCACGAGGCACGGCATCTGAGCGCTGCGAGCGTAAGGGTTGCGAGAGGTACGTTGATTCCTTGAAAAACCAGCGGGCACGCTTCGAGCCAAAAAGGTACAGAGCCCGTGCAAATCATGACTTGAGCCCCTTTGCTTGCTTATGCAAGCACCGGTGCAACTCCGCGGGTGTCCAGATGGATGCGTCAGAAGGCTTGATTGCCCAAAGCGGCCCACCTCTGCACCAGCGTCGCGACGCTGCCGCTCGGCTTCGGCTTCGAAGCCTGGAGTCGTCTGGGACGACGCGAAAGCTCCGGACATCTCGTCATCGAATCATCGCCGGGTTTCGGGCGCTTCTGGCGAAGCTCCCGGAGGCGCCTGGATCGGTGAAGCATGACGGTGGACACCAGGAAAGACTCATGAAATTATCATTCTGGGCGTGACATCGGAAGAGACGCTGTTATCGGAGCAGTCGCAGAGGCACTAGCAGCCGCAGTTGCTTGCATCAGCTGCAGCCCCAGTTCCAGCAGCAGCAGCAGCAGCAGCAGCAGCAGCACATATGTGAGGAAGCAGTAGGCCAGCCCTGTCCCTGCTGTCCCTGCCAGGCCTCTTGTAGTCTTTCATCTCTTTCACGATCGGCTCCATCACGAAGTGAAGCTGCTCTCCTTCTTCGTCCTCCAGCTCGCATTTCTCTTCCTCGGACCTCTGCTTTGCGGTCAGGGCTCACAGGCAGAAGCAGTCATCATCAGTCATCCGGCGACGACGCCAGAGGCACCCGACGACCCGACTCCCCCCGAGAGCCCAACGGACCCGGAGGGATGCTCCACTGCTCAATCTCCTTCTTCCTCAGCTCTTCGAGACAAGCTCACACCACGATGCGCCAGCTCCTCCAATGGCCGAACCGAGCGGCTTCCTCCGATAGGCCACAAAAGTCTCGTTTCGGCCCTCACCAAGAGACAAAGATGAAACAGAACATGTTCAATCACTCGGAC